TATTTTCGGATCGATCGGCGGCTGCCGGAATTTTATGCAAATTCGAACGTTCGGCGATATAATTAGAACAAATAATAACAACACCGGCGAAGGAATTTTTCCTGGCAAATATTATAAAATGCACTCTCAATATTTTAATGATTTTTCCTAATCGTCTGCATTCTATGCGATTTTTCAATTCAAGTTCATGAAAATAGAATCATTTAATATAATAGCAAATAGAATAACAAAGTTCTAATGTAATAATAATAATAATGACAATGACAATGACAATGACGACAATGACGACAATGACGACAATGACGACAATGACAATGACAATGATAATGATAATAATAGTATATTGTTTGTTACATTATTGTTATTATAAGATACTATATTATTTGTTACACTATTATTATTATTATTATCCATCGATTTTGTTTTTATTAATTTTTTTATGAAAAAGTTGTTCTCCATTTAAAACACGATAATTATTATTACTATTATTACAGGATAATCAGTGATGGAAAGACTATCGGGACAGTAATTACACAGTGGAACCTCATTTGTTCGAACATCGATTATTCGACACTCGATTATGCGAATGAGCAATTATACGAATTAAACCACGTACCCAGTAATGTTTACAATTTCAAACGCGTATTATTCCTGCGTCGATGCATGGCACGATTCGACTTCATTTATATTGTAAGTTGCATAACCTCGAAAAAATTCCTATATATTTTTATATGTTGCTGTAACCTCAAAATTATTAAAAATAACACTCTTTGTCGTTTGAAAATTGATCTACTTTTTATAAATCAAGAGGCAACTCTCAATCGTCATTTGAATCAACACAGCAAAATTATAAAACTTGAAATTCAATATTAAATTTTGCATAATACATCAACACATAAAAGATTAAAACTAATAATATATTATTATATAATTCTGCAGCTTGTTTCATGCAAGATTTCTCTTTACATTAATTGCAAAAATGTCATACTTCACCTAAGAATAATGAATACTTATGATTAAACATATTATCAACTCAAAATAACTGAGTAAATAAATAAATAAATAATTGTTTGAGAACTCACGATTCTGGCTGGATGTATGGCACGTTAATGAAGACGTTAACAGAAGCATGAAATAGTTTTAATTCAACGACATCATACAAATTTCTATTTTCAGCTATTCGTAAAGCTATCAACGTTTTTATCAAAATCTGTCAGTGCACGACAACAGTAAACAATGGAAATTTACTGCATGGAGCTTTATGAGACAAACTTTGTTTTATTGAGGTCGTAAACTGCTGCCACATGAAATTCAACATAGTAATAATCTTAAAACTGACCATGCTCTTAACGATAGAGTCGTATTATTAGCAAAATTTTATGTTCAATGAATTCAACGTAATTTATTTTTATGTTTTAATTTATATTCTAACATTATTATGTTCATATCGTGTTCTATTATGTATATAGATCATATTATGTTCTAATTATGGATTAATGAACAGTATTTTAAAATTGAGGTTCCACATGGACCAGAAATTGAAGGAAATAATGTATAACTTCATTTTCATTAACAGGGAAATTAAAAGATTCGTAGAAGTAGAAGTTTTAATGTTGATAAGAAATTTTGAAACTTGTAACTTTGTTTAAAAATTTTAGAAGCATGTTCGTCAAATAAAATGTCTATTATTTGAAACAACTATAACGTGAGTAAATTTCAAATCAAAACCATTATAAAGTGAGACTTCCAAATTAAAAGTGATTAATAATTTCGTAATTTGTATCTTGACTTATTAATCTGGTTAATTTATAATTTATATAATGTACAGAAGCGCACAGAAATGTATATAATATATAAACTTGCACAGAAATGTATAGAACGCATAAAAATACTTTAAATTACTGTATTCCAGCATGTCAGGATTAGTTTGTGGACGAAAGTTTGTTGCAAACATATTGCAAGGTCCCGTTTCATGGACTTCACACGTAACTTTAAATTATAGTCACACTTATGAAGGTGCAGCGAAAAAAGGTTGATTAAAGCTGAAGAAACTTTTATCGGAGAAAGTTTAATGGGGAGTAATCAATAATAGTGACACATTGTCAATTACGTAGTGCAGGTCTGCGAATATAGGGCACTATCTTCAACGGTATAAATACATCCTTTGAGCACTACTCGATAAGCTAATGCTTTTCACGCACAGTGTACAGATTAAATAAATAAAAGCGGTGTAGGTCTTTAAATATTTAGTTGCATATTAATTTCTGTAGTCGTACACCTGCTGGTAAAGAAAACAGGAATATTGAAAATTATTTTCCCATTAATATTCAGAGATTCAATAAAACTGAATATTATAATATAATACTATTGAAATATATATAATATTATTTATTTATTATAATATAATATCAAACTGTTAGCTTGCAATTATATTTAGTTATAAAATTTTATTTCAACAACACCGTTTTCACATTTCACATAAGAAATTATATTTGAAGAGTTACGAAGAATAGTTCAAATAATTGTTACTTATTTTCCTGTCGACTTTAGAAGGTAATGTGTGTATTCTTTAATCGACCAGTGACACTGGTTTAATTATGCAAAATAAAAGCGTTCCACTTAGATATATTGAACCTTCTAATAAAAGAAGAAAGACTGAGAAACTCCGCTTTACTGCTTTAGAAGTCCCAGGAGGCTCCGATGTAGGCTAAATGATCAGCTCCATTATCCCATTCAATTAGAAAAAATATAAAATCAATACCACTCAACTTAACCAACTCAGAAGCCTATAAGGTTAAGTCCGAGGAACAAAATTTGAGAGAATTAATATTTGGGCTTGTGAAATGATTACATGACATGTACAGAAGTTGTAAAAAGAAATGCTTCCTAACCTAGAAAAAAAGTGTAAATCCTTGAATAATTAAGAAAAATATTTATTTTAATAAATTCACAAAAAATATCCAAACATCAACTTAACTATATTGAATTCTGAAATAATTATGGGACATATTTAAAAGCTATAAAAAGAAATGAATCCTAACCTAGAAAAAAAACTAAATCCTTGAATAACTAAAAATAGTATTATTCATTCCATTAAAATTTACAAAAATCAGAAAATATCCAAAAGTCTGAAACAATTACACAAAAATAGATGAATGGTTTTAAATAAATAAATGGACTCATTTCAATCAGCAGAATTCCAGCAATTCAATGACACCACATTTGAGAAGGTAAGGTGTAAGTTACTACAATCGAAATTTTCTTCACTGCATATTTAACCTTACCTTCTCAATTATAATACCAACAGTATGTTAAGATTCTCCTGATTAAAATGAGTCCAAACACGACATAAATCGGACTAGTTTCATGATTTAATGGAAACCAGCCTTTAATTTCGTTAGTTACATCAATTCCGTAAATCTAGTCCGATTCCCATCGTGTTTGTACTCATTTTAATCGGCACGATCTCAGCAATTCACTGGTAACATTATTTCCTAAATCAGACACTTCCACATAAAAAATTAAACAATCTACAACTGTGCATTCTACAACGACAATTTCGAAAAACAACTTGATTGCCCCGTGGTATTTCCGAATCACTGCGGTTGTACACGTGGGTCGTAGAATACGCTCGATATAGGTCGAAAAATCTACGACCATGTAGAACGGTAGTTTCTCAATTTACATGCACAATGTCCCGGCACGTCTGGCGCAGTCGGTTGTACAATACCACTCCATATGCCCGGCATTTGCATACCGATAGTGCTGGTAATTTTGCGTGCGAAGATACTGTTGATTTATTTCGCCGGGGCTCGTTTAAATCATCGCACTGCTTCGACTTCGAATTAAAAGCGGCCGCGTATCTTGGAATTTACAAGTTCCCGAAGAATGTTCCGGAAGTTTAATTGGATCGACGGTCTCAGGTTATAGCCTCGCGTACCGATCATTATCTTAGCCAAACAACGGGCTGCCATTTGAATTGCTCGGAAGCCAATGAGATTCAAATGATTTTTAGTTATTTTTTTATTTTCGTGAATTTTAATGGAATAATATTGTTTTTAGTTATTCAAGGA